CAACAGTGGCAGCACCTCTCGTGTAATAGATTTAGGGAGGAGAAAAAGTTTCTGTACAGGAGCAAGTTCAGCCAGAGGGAGGAGTGAGAACATGCAAGAGCAACAGCCCTGCAGACACTCAGGTCAGTGCAGGAGGGCAGGAGGTGATGCAGGTACCAGAGCAGAGATTCCCCTGCAGCCCGTGGTTCAAACCATGGCAGAAAAAACATGATGGACTGACTACAACCTCCATTCCTGCCTCACTGTGCCGCTGGGGCAGAGGAGGAAGAGAATTCTGGCTGGGAAGAAAGGAGGGGTGGGTAGAAAGTTTTTTAAGATTTAATTTTTATTTCTCATTATCCTACTCTGATTTTACTTATAGCAAATTAAACTCATTTTTCTCCAAAGTCAAGTCTGTTTTGCTCATGACAGTAACTGGTGAGTGATCTCTCCCCGTTCTTACCTTGACCCACCACCCTTTATCTATATTTTCTCCCCCCTTCCAGGAGTGACAGAGTAGCTTTGGTGGGCACCTGCACCAGCCAGGGGTAACCCACCACACCCTCTATAGTGAACTCCTAACAGTTTTCAGGTTGGGTGTTGGGTTTTTTTTAAGAACATCTAGGAAATGTCTCTGTGAAAGGCCCCCATTTGCAGTGTTGATTCCAGTGACACAACCCTGTGTTTTGAATTCATGATTCCAGGCAGTAGGTATGCAAGTGCTTTAATTGACATTGAGTTGGAGGTTATGTTAACTGACAATTTCAGAATCGTCGTTTTCCAGTACAATAATAAATTCTTAACGTTTCCCTCATGTTTTTTGTTCCTGAATGTATGACTTTTCATTTTATTCTATAAAAACTGCGTTTGCTTGTATGAAATTCAATGTAAAGGAACACTGTCATGCAATCACCTCATCTAGAAGTGTCACATCTACATGCCATCAGCAAGAATTTTGTGTTTTCTTTCTGAATCTGAATATTAAATTTAACCAAGTTGATAAATTCTCTACAGGTTTTGCTAGAAACATCTATGCAGCTCAGATGATTTATTAGTAAATGAGAGATTTGACTTTTCTCAGCAAATTTTAAATATGCTTAGATGAGGGAATAAAATAACCATGAAATGGAAATGGTGCAAAGCTTTCCATGGCGAGAATGCTGCACTTAAGTAAATATTTCTATAAAACAAGACCTCAGTTTGCATCCAGTAAATGTATCTGGCCAAGATGCACCGATCTATAAATGTCAAGTATGTATGCATGTACAAATGATTGTTTAAGAACTGTGCAGTAAAGTTGATGGATTAAAGTCCACACAATTTTAAATCCATGCCTTAGCATTTACTTTTGTTTTTAAAAGTACATTTCATTAGCTGTAGAACTGATTGTATTCTGCTCATCTCACTATTTTTACTGCCTTGAAATAGCCCAGTTAATAGGCTCAATGTTAATGCAAATCTACACACAAATATGCACTGATGTGATTGCCTCCTTCCAAAAGTGGAGCCACTTATACGTTTTCATAAAATAGGTTTGAATTTCACATCACTGGAGAGCTTTGTTTCTCTTCATATTCAGACACATGGATCTGGCTCTGTTTGTATGTCTCTTAAGCAGCATGTAAATTACAGAGATTTAAACTGCATTTGAATAAGAAGTATCAGTGAATTCCATCAATTTCAATTGACTTTTACCAGCATGAATGAAAGGAGGATCAAGCTCCTGCACTTAAGTAGTTGAAAATGACAATATTTTTTTATATCGCCTAAATTTTCAGAAAGGTATTTTCAACCCATAATGACACCTACCTCTCAAAGTCTTTTGAGTTTTAGGTACACTATTATTTCTGGAAGTTTTCCTGAGGGCACCACTTGTTCTTACATAAACATTTGTAAGAAAAGCAGTTTGTATTTCATAGAGACAAGCAGAGATAGTACAGACCTATTGAAAACATCACTTGGAAAAAACATCATCATGGAAAGTACAGTACATCTTAAAACAACTGCATGTTACTTTACATTCATTACACATTGAAACAAACACAGAATTTCTTCAACATTTGTACACGTACTGAATACATAACACTAACACGAGCTCTGTAAGCTAACAGCTATTCTTTTCGCTGCTTTATTCTTTTCCAAAATACCATAAATATCATTAGGTTCAATGTGACACGTACTGTGAAGCAACCATGAAGATAACGATGTCTGAAATAATGTATTCACAACATTATCTTGTAAAAAGATCCCTCACTTTCCCTACAAAATTTACTTCACTGCAACATCATACAAAGCTTAATATTTATCTCTTGGAAATAGTGACATTACTTCAAAAATGCAGATTCTGGGAAAAAGCAAGATTTTTAAGTAAGAGTGAAGTACGCATACTGAGTGAAAGTGAATACAAAGGTCAAAGGACCATAACTTAAAACATGTCATTAAAATGTCTTATCTATCTTGCTAAAATTACATGGTTTTCAAAATATGTTTTTTCAATGTTTAAATTTAGAAAAAGACTTCAGAAAAAACAGTAAATAATCCCATATCCAATTAATTTCATCAAACAAAATTTTGAAAGAATATTAAAATTGCAGATGGGAAATTAAAATTAGCTATTTACGCAGTCATCATCTTTTACAGATAATTTCAGCCAGTTTGCTCGTATCTTTGTAATTGATTATAGCATGTGATCTTGTTACCTACCTTAGACATATAAAAAATGTTAGGAAATTCTACATTTTCTGGTACAAGATAGAAATTTCAGATGATTCTGAAAGTTTAAATTACTACATATCATAAGTATTTAGTACATGCTTTTGAAAACTCTGTAGTTAAGTGACTCACTTAGAAGCAGACATTAAACATGAGCTTTGCTTTCAACAAAAAATATTATTTTCTTCAAAACTAATTAAAAGGGTGACACAATTACCTGTGAAATTAGCACAGCTGAACATATAGGTGAGAAAGGTCCATCATTTTTCATGCAGGTGATGAACAGTATGTTGATTAAGTGCCATTTAATGTTTTCCATTTTGGCTATGGACCTTAGATCTGATTTATGCATAGCAGTGTACAGTGTTCATCTGCATCCACACATATCTTAGAAATGTATTTTAGGTACAGTTAGTTGAAGAAGAGCACTGCTATAACCTTTAGTATCATACCTCGAACACCTACCTATAAGCAGGCCGAGCTGACATTACATAAAGAACCCTGACAGAATAATGTCTCCGCCTCTTTAAACATTAATCTTTACAATTTCAAAGTTCCACTGACACAGTGTTTTAATGAGATTTCTGCATCATTTTAAGGCAAAAGTGGTAAAACCCAGAAAACAACATACAAAATGCAAAACTGGCTAGAAAACTGCTGCAATGTCTTAGTACAGCCCCAGAAGATGGACAGCTCCTTTCCAGAGCCTGCCTCCTTCTCCACAGGTCTCTCATCCACTCTGCAGAGAAAACTATAAAAAAGGCAGACCTCTACATTTCCCTAATAAGACACGGTTTTAAGATGGACTGAAGAACTCCTACTACTTATCTGATAGGATACACTACTTCTATAATCAATATTGAAAGTGCATTGTACGTTTTAGACTTCTCGTGCAGCAGGACCAAGAGGCAGCATTTTGGCAGTGTACATTCAATGAAATTTTAGGGAGTTTATGAAAGAAATACACATGTATTTCAATGTACACCCCAAATGTTGGGGTTCTCCAGTTCTTTCTATTTGTGAGAAATATCATTTTAAAGACATTTCAGAGAAATTTAAGTATTTGCTTAATTACACACATATACCGTGCATTAGTTTGAGAGGAATTTGATTTACAATTCCTGTTACCTATTTTGTTCTGTACAGATTCATATTTTCAAATTCACAAGACAGTGTGAAATTCAGTGGGCTTATTCATTTATGAGTGGAAAATTCCACCCTACCCAGAGAAATACTATTTCTCTCTCTCTCTGTGTCCCCACTCACCTCCCCCCTTACTACATGTATCCTGAAATTAACCTTTCTGGTTTAAAAGATGTAGAAAAACCCAAACAAAACGTACCAGGCATGTAAGCGAGGTGAGACTTTTGCTTTGTCCTCCATCAGAACAATCCCTGCCAATGGGATCAGAACTTGCAATTGTACAGCATCATTAGCACCCATTCCCCAATTTTCTGCCCAAATTAGCCATTTCTGTGGCATGACAAGTTCCTGCCTGACCGTCCAGCTGCTCAAGGGCTAGACACAGTTCACAGAGTACGTTAACACTGCTTTTACAGTCGCAACCTCTGGGTCACAGTTGAGCATATCAAAGTCACACTGGAGTCACTGATGAACAAAAGAGTGTTTTAGGCAGGAAATTCAGCCTTGGAGTGTCAACTGCTTCTTAAGGTCTCTTTGAGAAGTGAGGTGGAAGTTTCAGTAATACTCACAAGGAATCCGGTGGGGCTATTCTAACTAGTTGGTGCTGCAGATTAAAACTTCAAACAGATGTAGCTCCTTTACTGTCAGACTCCTGGGTTTAAAACCATGTAAAATTAAGGGAAAAAAGTCTGTTCCAGATGAAACCATAAACTCAGCACGCTAACTTTATACGCTTACATATTTACATTGTAATTTTTTATTCAAAGCAATAAAACCACAAACATTTTTTAAAGGAAAAATACAAGTTTCAAAGCTGTGGAAGAGCCTAATATGTTAAAAATTCACCTGAAGTCTGATAGTGCTTTAATAATTTGAGTGATTAGTGAGCGCCGAGGATCTGAAAGCTTATAGGCTGTTCAACACTGTTCTGTTTCCTAACCTCAATCCTAACCCCAAAAATGGTTTCCTGCGCAGATAAATCCTCCTTCTCCAATTGAGGTGGTTTTATTTTTTCATGTATTTTGTGTTCTTAGCAATATCATCAGACTGTGTCTGAAAGAATGAACCAGACACCATGCATGCAATAGCATGACTTTGATAATATTTTACTGATTCCAAGCAGACAACACTTGACATTTTCATAGAAACATAGACATTTTCATAGAAACATAGACATTTTCATGTGAGCTAACCCCCCCATAGTTGATGTGCTTCCAACACTCTGAAGCGATTAGCCTACTCAGTGCTTGTGAGGACACTTCTGGAACACTCTGTTCAGTTTTGAGCTCCCAAGATCACAAGAGGGATGGTATGCTGGAGAAAGGGCAGTGGAAGGCCACTAATTTGGCTAGGGAGCTGGATCACGAGAGATGAGGAGAGACAGACAGTGACGCATTGTTTAAGAAGAGACTGTTGGGTGAAATTTAACTGCCATCTTAAATTACATATTTGTTAGAGAGAAGACTTAAGTACACAGTAAAAAAGGACAGAAGGCAACAAGTCACAATCAAGGGAAATCCCAGCTGGGATAAGAAAAAAATGTTTAGTGTGAGTGATTAGGCACTGGGACAAGTTCCCCCAAAACCTGTTGAATCTCCATCCTTAGAAATTTTCAAAACTTCCCTAAATAAGGAAGCAGTCCTACTCTGAGGATATCCCTGCCTTGAGTGGATGTCTGGAGGTTTCTTCAACTTTATGTACTCAACTTAAAAAGGTAAAACCATATCTCATTCCAGCTAACAGTAAGGTTCTGAATGGACTGAGTGCCTTTCCAATATTTCTTCAGTGGCTTACCACATAAAGACATATTAAGTACTTTTATAAAATTGCTGAAACTACTCATCCTATTGAAGAATTTGCAGAATTGGGCCATTTACCTTATGTATTCTGTATTGATTTAAATGAATCTTTCTGAGTTTTTCCAATTTAGAGCTACACGATACCAAGCCCCTGCTACAATTTTTAAGGTAATACTGTTTCTGAACATTTAAGCATTGCCCAGAGTCACTTTATACAACATAATATTTTAAAATATATGTATATATTGCACATTTAAAACCTTACCTCCACCTCAAAGTCTATAAAGTTAACAAAACATACACACACATGCAACACACGAAGAATACCTTCCCTCAGATAGACATAGATCCTCATTTTGGTACAACTACATACAGGCCATAAACAAAACCTTACACAGCATACACAAAAGGCAGCTGTACGAAGTGGAAAGAACTCCATCATTACTCAGTATGTTACATTAAAAAGACAGCTAAACAGGTATAATTGGTGTTTCCTCTCTAAGATAATTGCCTCGAGTTGTACACAGGTTATTTCAACTCTGAATCAGAGCCCATGTTTACATTAAAAAGTGAAGAGGCATTGTCAAAACAATCTGAAGAGAGAACAAGAGTTTTCCTCTCTGAAATCATAATACTAAAGTATTTAGTATCTGTAAGACAGAAAATTTAGCCATCTCTTCACTTCGATGGAGTAAGATGTCAGAAAGTTACTTGTCCATGTCAACATTTCCTTCTTGTATATTAGAACGTTTACACACCTGTGCTTAGACACACACATATCTCCAACATTTTTTCTCAAGTATCTTTTAAAGGTCCAACAGCTTCATTTGACAAAGCTAAGATGCAAAGGATCTTTCTTTCATACCAGTTTCACAAACTTTTGCTACAAATGCAACTTCAGTCCATTAAATACCAATTAGCTTCATCAAGATAAACCCAGGATAAAGCTCATTGTGCTTTGTTTTCTAGGTGTCTGGTTCACACAAGTGAGAAGCCAACATTTTATGACTTTTCAAAGTTCACACATGTGTACAGTTGGTAGACGGTGGTGTATCTATTCGACTTCTATTTTCCTTGGCATCATTCAGAGGTGACTCGTTACCTATCTGGCATTTGAAGACTTGTTTGTAGGCCTTCCTAAAATTTTCAGAGAGAAATGCATATATAATCGGGTTCACAGAAGAATTGCTGTAAGCCAGGCAGTGTGCTGTTACTCTGAAGAGAAAGGAGGCTTGAGTCAGTGGGAAAACTCCAAATTCAGCCCAGAGATGAATCACGTGATGCGGCAGCCAGGAGATGCCAAAAACCACTACCACCACCAACACAGTCTGTGCTGTCTGAGACAGGGAAAGGAAAACACAGATGTCTGATGAGCACTTGAAGAATCCACTTTAAACCTGCTTCAGAACCATTACTGAGGGGCATGGGGAGATGCTGAGAAAGAACACACTGTGGACTATTTATTACTGATTTTACTCCATTGCCTATATGGACTTTAGTCTGGATAGCGACTACTGCAAGAAGAACTTTAGCCCTGAAAATGCCATAGTAAAAGGCATATATAGCTTTGCTTGAAAGTAAAAGAATTATGTACCTGATTCCTTAGACAAAAGCATAAGCTTGATGTAAAATAATGATAATATGGGTCTTTGGGAAATCTCATCCAGATCTAATGATCTATATTTGAGTATGGTATGCAAGGATTTCTGACCATAATTTCAAGAGAGATCTATTATACGTGATGGCAGATAGTGGTAGAGCTTAGAGCAGTCAGACGAACACTTTGCTCAAGTGTCTGCAAAAAGAGAAGGTGCTTTTTGAAAGTCTCTCCTTTAAATGTAAAATTTTCATGGGGGGGAATCATGCAACAACATTTTGGGATGCAACTAGGGAAAAAAAAGAAAGAAAAGTAAGGAGCTTGAAATTTCACACATTGGTAATCATCAACTGTCAAAACCAATCCGGAAATCAAAGGTCACCACCAAGCACCAAAATCTGAAAAGGGGAACACAAAATATCCTCAGTGATGCCTCCTGACTCCACTCTCATTGTTTATGAGAGTCCCATCAAGTTCATTAGATCCATCCAGACAACTACACCATCAGTCAGCACAGATCTTTCTGGTGCTGAAGGTATTCTGCCAGGGCACAGTGGAGTTTGACTGTCCATTGCTTTCTTTAGCTTTCACTTATTTCAGAAACAGCAATTACTGCTTTGCAGTTGCTCAACTAATTAATATCTACTTCTTCAACAAGTATCTCTTTCAATTAAGTCACTCTCCCAGTAAAAGCCTACTATTAATTCCAAAAGCACATAATGTTATGGACCATTATCATTGCTATATTAACAAGTTACAAAATAATTTTTCAGATAACCTAGGCTCTTCTCCACAGGCAAAAGTAAACCAGTGGCCAGAGTGATAAGTACTTTAGCACACAGATTATCTAGTCTTTTTGTTAGCTTATTGAACTTGGTCTTTACTTCCTTAATTGATTATATATAATAATTCAGACTGACCTATTAAATAGAACATGGCTGAATTTACAGAAACTTACAGAAAAATATAAAGGGTGATTTCACTGCTAACAGGTCAAAGTAACGTTGTTGGCTAGTAAAATCTCACAACAGAAACAAAGGACATTGTATCGGTATTAAAATATAATTTGTTTAGTCTCAAGGATTCACCTGTTTCCACAAGCCATTCACCTGCTTAGCCCTGTGGAGTTTAAGTCAGTTGCCACTATCAGACAGCCACACACATATTATCTCTTTCAGGTCTCATCAGGAGAATATGTGCTAACAAGGAAGTACAAATTAAGAGCAATTCCTTCTCTGATCCTTTAAATGTGTTAATATTCCAACTGAAAACATATTGCTGGATACCATTTCCACAATTACTTCAAAAGGGGTATATTACTTCAGTGTGTTCAAAATTCAAAATATACCAGGAAAATCGCTTTCAAAAGACTATACAGATGCACCTCAAAACAGAGGTTGACCATGTGCCTCTTGTAACTATTTAAGGTTTTTCATATCTGCAGAATAAACAATTTTGTATTAGGGAACCTCAAAACATCTGTTATATCCCATTAGTCCTCCTAATCCTAACTTCAGAGTTTACCTTTCCAAAATCATCACTATGGCTTGCAACCAAAGTAACACTAAAGGGAAGCTCTTGTTTACCTAATGGGAGCTTCCTTAGGGTGTTTCATTAGCACATGAAAACCCACCTGAAATACATGATGTTAAATATTGATGCTTTGTGACCAAAAAGCATGACAAATAGCATTTAGGCACATTCGTATTCTTCACTAACTTTTTTTCACACATACAGCACATTACTTTTAAGATTCTGCTACTGAAATTTCCATAAAGTTTTGAATAACGCTATAAATGTATAATTAAGCCTGAAATGCATTTCTAACAAAACTGTAGAAGAAAAAGAAGAAAGATACAGTAACCAGAGAGAGCACACTAATGAAAACAGTTGCCTTAAAAAAGCATGAGTTAGGCTGTAGGTCGAAGGAGGTGATCCTGTCCCTCTGCTCTGCTCTCGTGAGACCTCACCTGGAGTACTGTGTGCAGTTCTGGTGTCCTCAACATAAAAAGGACATGGAACTGTTGGAACAAGTCCGGAGGAGGCCACGAGGATGATGAGGGGACTGGAGCATCTCCTGTATGAAGACAGGCTGAGAAAGTTGGGGCTGTTCAGCCTGGAGAAGAGAAGGCTGCGTGGAGACCTCATAGCAGCCTTCCAGTATCTGAAGGGGGCCCACAAGGATGCCGGGGGAGGACTCTTCATTAGGGACTGTAGTGACAGGGCAAGCGGTAACAGGTTAAAACTTACACAGGGAAAGTTTAAATTGGATATAAGGAAGAAGTTCTTTACTGTAAGGGTGGTGAGGCACTGGAATGGGTTGCCCAGGAAGCTGTGAATGCTCCATCCCTGGCAGTGTTCAAGGCCAGGTTGGACAGAGCCTTGGGTGAGATGGTTTAGTGTGAGGTGTCCCTGCCTATGGCAGGGGGGATGGAACTAGATGATCTAAAGGTCCTTTCCAACCCTAACCATTCTGTGATTCTATGAAAAATGTATTTGCTATGGCAAAAAAAAGTTTGGGCTCCCCTTTATTTTTTTTCCCCTTTGGTTTCTGAACATTAATACATCCAAGCAGTCTTGGGCATATACATAATGCTTTTCCCTGAAGCTATGAAACGAGTTCCTAGCCAGATCTGATTTTTACTTGCAATTTTTAAGAGTTAGTGTTTAGAGTAAATGCAGAGATTATTTCCAGTTTGAGAATAATTTAGATGAGAGTAGAGATGGCAACGTGCAGAACACCTTTGAAAATGACCTTTTGGCCTTGATGACATGAAGTGTAAAAGTATATATGTCAAGTAATTTACAGAATCAGGACAACAGTTGTTTTAATTCTAGGTATTAAAGTTTATTGACTAGGATATTTTTCAATAAAATAGGGAATGCATAAATAATAGATTACTTATTCCCTGTTGAGCCCATGTATATCTCATTTCCATTGGAGACAGCCTGCATGCCCATACGGTAATAGTGAACAGATCAAATGAAAAGCTATAGCCTAAGGGTTTTTTCTGGCTCTGCATTCATAAACTGAGAAGTTAGTCAAATCATTACTTTGGTCAAATCTGATAAAAAATCAGAACTGTGTTATAGTAACTGACAAATTCAATATATAAACACATCAAATATTGTTCTAAATCACAAAGCTTATATTCTGCTTTAAAGACCTTTCCCCATTCTACTTGTAACAGTACATAACTAATGCCTTGAACATAGCAGAAAAGAATGGTTTTGTGGAAAATCAACAGAATTGAAGAATGATTGAAACTCTCTTATTAGACTTCTATCACAAAGAAAATAAACCTCATTTAAAAGAAGAAGTTCTTTACTGTCAGGGTGGTGAGGCACTGGAATGGGTTGCCCAAGGAAGCTGTGAATGCTCCATCCCTGGCGGTGTTCAAGGCCAGGTTGGACAGAGCCTTGGGTGAGATGGTTTAGTCTGAGGGGGGTTGGAACTAGATGATTTTAAGGTCCTTTTCAACTCTAACCATTCTGTGATTCTATGATTCATAAATGATTCAACTAGTTTAAAAAACAATTTAAAAAAAAAAAGAAAATATTTACAAGTTAGGGGGAAATGCCTGTGAGGCAAAAAAAACCCCAATTTAGTATTACAGACAGGTTGTCTATTCATGTGTGAATTTCAGATGCTCTGAAGTTCAGAATATGGGGATCTTAGGTAGTGACTTAATGTACTGAGATGGAAAACTCAGATTAGAAAATATTCCAATCCTGCTAAATTCAGAGAGATGCTGAATACATCATTAAATACTTCAATTCCTTCATTACATCTTTGCAACAAGTAATATGATACTAAAATTAGCTTAGACATAAACCAAACAAATACATAATGGTAATGAAAGCAATCTACCTTTTTCTTGGATGCTTCTGACTTCTTTGACATGTTTCTCAACTTCTTATGCAGATGATTAAGAACCTGAAAAGATTAATTTATATGTTGTATTACAGCGCTTTCTAAATTCAAACCCATGTATTTTAGGGTAGGCTCTCCGGTACTGATGAGTCGCTTACAAACTTCTCTGATTCAATTTACACATTTCAAAAGTGCACAATACAAAATCCAAAGGAATTAAGTATCTCCATCTGTGGGAAACAACAAATATGAAGCAGGCAACAACTGAATTCTTCTATAAAAATTCAGATATACTATGTAACAAATATATATTACAAATGAACAAGGCAACGAACAGAAACCTGTCATACACCTAGAATTAACAATCATTCTTCCATGAAAATGTCAATGCTTAATTTAGAGCGACCTTTACTGCATGTAACATAAAAAGTGTATGTTTTTAGTCAGAGCTTTTCTGAGTCACCTGCATAATTTGCTTTCTTCAGATGGATGTTTGGTTAATACAATCAGGCCGTTGGTGCTATTTGATCTTTGAAAGAAGCTTAGGCTTTCAGAAATAATTTATACTAAAATGTATCTCAAATGAGGCATAACCTTTATCAAGAATTTGGTGATACTTGTCACGCGCCTTTCACAAGTAATTTTTTTTAAATATATCTCCAAAAGGCTCATCATCCAAGAGTAGGGTCCAAATTTTAACATAATGATTTATACATAAGATTTTGGATAGTGGTCATATACAAGCGCACACCCTAATTTACCTGCAATCGGTATTAAACGAATCTAATATATTCATATGGCATGATTTGTAGGCATGGGGGGCGGGGAATATCTCTTCAGCTGAATGTGTTTAACAAGTTGTAAACCATACAGAACTGAATAAAAAAAAAGAGATGCTGAATTAAACTCGAGATTTTAATTAAAATCAGAGGAATAGAAAGAGTGCTGAGGTGTAGAGCTCAATTAGATGATGATGTTAGGTTGCACATTACATATCTTTAAGATGAACTGAGAACAATCTAATAGGTAAGATCATCCAACATAAAAAGGATTTTTTTAAGGAATATAACACTAAACTTTAGGGCTTATAAAGAGACTTCTTGAGGTGGGAAAAAGTGTATAAATTCAAATTGTCTTACATTATCAAGGGATATTTTCCCTGTTTTCTTTAGAATACACAGCTAACCACTACCAGGATAAGCACCAGACATGATGACCTACAGACTTGAACTCACTCTGGATTTGAATCTTAGAAACTTACATAATGAATTAAAAGAAATGATAGTTATTTGTAAATAACCATAATCAGTGGATTGCACTTTTCAAGTATCTACTCTTAGTTACCAGTGAACAATGAAACAACAGAAACCAGGAACAAAAATAAAAATAAAAAATACTTGTAGCCACTTAACATTGGAAGTGCAGTTCGTACCTGTGCACTAACATGTTTGTGTGTGAATGACTTAGCCCTGCAGGTACTCCCTATTCTGAAACAGTGGCCAGGCTGCTATCAAGACTGACCTGAGTTCAGGAAAGGCAGGAGAAAAATAAATGGGGTTTCTCTGAGAAAAGCCTGTTTTGGCTTCAGCCTTTCTTTCTTCTCCAGGAGCAGATGAGAAAGAAAGGACATAAGAGCCCCTGAGGTCCAGCAGAAGACCAGAGAGATGACCCATTAGCTCACACACTCTCTATTCACCTGCTGTCACTGTGTACTGCTTAGTTCATGGGTGAAATATGTAAAACATAGAAGAGCATGGGAGAAATACAGTGAAGTTCACTTCCCATCACTGCTATTTGACATAACTTACAATGATGTGCTGCTTCTACTGGGCCTCTGTGAATCCAATCTCCTGCCATGCGCAGAATGTACTGTACTCTACTGTGAAAACTAAAGTCAGATAAACACTTCCCAGAATTAGAACTGCAAAATCTTCTCTCACAATCATAAATATTTTTATCTTTTGATCCGAAATTTTTAACAAACATCTTTGCATTATATCTCTCTGCAGTCCAAAGAAAGATGCAGTAGATGAAACTGTTAAACTGGGTATCTGAGGGGTGGGAGGGGGGTGCCTACTGAAGATTTAGAGGATAACCTTCCAATGAATCCTTCTCAATTTCCCCTCTTTCAGATTGTATACATGTTTCTCTCCAGTGAAAACATGCTGGCTCTGCATGATAGTGTACCAGATGGTATGCAAACCAGCAGGAAGAGAAATAGGCAGAATTTAATTACCTATCAACAACAGTCAAAGAGCACTCAGAGACCTACACATAACCCTGTGGAGGGATATTAAGAGCCATGTTTATGCACAAACACTACAAGGGAAATCAAAGACACCTCACTGTCCTTTTCAAATTACCTCTTCTCTGGGCCAATGAATAATCAATTGTATCTCTAACAGCTACTGTTGCTTCACCTGAATAAGCAAGTATTCTACAAGTGCCTCTTAATTTGCCTCAGGTTGTTTCTCTAAAGAAAGTATTTCAAGATATCCCCCACTACATTTGCGTGTGCATTTTTAATTCATATAATGAAATACCCACCTTGCTAAACAACAGGTCACAACCTGTTCTCAACAACCTGTTATATTTTCCAAAAACTCAGCTCTGTGGAAAAATTCACCCTTTACGTGAAACTTTTCTAACTCCAGCTTTCATGTACCTGTCAATTGCAGATCTTATCTGGCTCTTGGGGAAGGAATAGCTTTCCTGTTTTCTGGAGATGAGAGTGGGCTGCTGTGGGAAGAAAGTTATCCTGATGTGAAAGAGGGTGTAAGATTTTCAGGATCACAGAAGCATATGACATTTCAGTCCGGTCCAGACTGTCATACACAACTATGAACAAATCAAGTTGAGAGAAGGATTTTTCCAATATAGGACAGAGAAAAAAATAGATTGTTATCAGTGCCTATTCATGTAAATCTGCCAAATACTGTAGAAGTCTGAAGTCTACACTGTTGCAAAGCGTATTTCCTGTCTGTCTGGGTATAATTCCAATGACTACACCTTCATTATCAGCCATTGAAAATCATGCAGCTGGAAAGCCTGCCCAAGGTCATTATCTAATAAGAATGAACTGCTTTTTTAACAGAGCCATAATGTCAGCATTACATTCTGAACCATATTTTACAGTATGAACCTGATTTAAATTCAAGTGCCATTGCCTGCAATCCATTCTTGAAAGCAATGCTTCTATCGTCACAACAGATCCTTTACCCTCTTTCATTCAATAGTACTGCTAATATGGTTTAGTTAAGTTTTCCCTCATTGCTCAGCAAAATTTAAAATAAAATATCTTAAGCCAAAAACCACGTACGTTTGTATTTTATGTTGAGGCTCCTACTTTTTACAATTTACTTTTAACCAAGCCTATAAATCCTTATCACCAGGTATTCAAAAGCAGAAGCACCCAAACTCAGCTGTCACATTGTACTACCCTGGCAGATGCTCACTGAGAAGTATTTATCACTTTGCCCTTCGAGAGCACCTCAGTGGGCAAATGTAGCAGTGTTATAAAACACACGCAAAAAGTCAGTATTAAGAAAATACAGCACTGTAACTCAGCTAATAACTATATAATCACTGCTCCTCTGGGTGGAGTAGTAAGTTCCTTTCAAGAGTAGTTCTGTGACCTAACAAAAGCTGGTCTGCTATGGATTTGTGATCTCTTGACTGTGTGCTCCCAAGAAGGTGTGTGTCTTCCATGAGCAGATGCTACATCAGACATCTTCTCCCTATGGCTTGTCTGATATTTAACAGTTGAGTGCAAACTGACTCTCCTTAAAGGAAAGAGGATGATGCAGACTTTCCACCTTCTTCACTGACTCCTGTTTTCACAAAACTAAGGAAATATCATTCTTTCTGATATTTTCACTCCTCTGCCAAATTTGGTTGAAACTCAACAGAAGTTATTTGTGGGAGACAGGAAATGGATAGCTATACACACAGGACACAGAGCACGATCTCATAAATCTCTGCGTTAAGAGCATGTCATGTGAGATTTCCATTTCTGATTTTATGGGGGGACTCTGTTTCCAAATATCTAGCACTATGTCAGCACTTCCGTAGGCAATAACAGTATTGATATCCACTGGGGAAAACACAAATCTCTTCTAACATAATTTGATAGAGATTGAGAGAAAGAACTCAGCTCCATATTAGAGTGCCTAAAGAATGAGACTTTCAAAACTGAAAGTTCAATTGCAATTTCCTTATAAAAGAAACAGAACTGCCTTAAAGGAGTCTGAAAAAGGCAATATATTCAAATAGAGAAATGAGTCTCCTTTGTCTTAATCTAGTGTGTCAGAATATTGCATCATTTAGCTAATCCACAGTTCATGAAAGCCAGTGAAGTCCATTAGAAACTAATGCATTTATTTCTATAATACTTCTAAGGCTATTACACAGCAGTAACCCTGCATGCATTCAGAAGCCCAAATACTTGTACTTCACAGTACTTCAGTGACACCAGCAAGAGGCTGCAGTGATCACTTCGCTTGAGACCTGTGAGTCTGAGGCTTTGACAAACTGAAAACTTCAGCTCCGATTTTCAATTAACGATCCTTAATTTCCCCTGACCTTGCCCCATGTGCCAAAACACTCTAGTTGGAGATTTGCCAGTGGCTCCTAGTGAGGACAGGAATGAGTATTTATGCCACAAGGTACAATACCTCCAACAGCCATGTACAAGTCATGGCATTTTTCAGCTTCATTGACACTGATGAGAATACCAGGTATCTTCTGCGTATCTCCTAAAACTCATCCCCTACGGGTTGGATCTTCCAGCCTGACACAGGCTCAAAACACATCACCAAGCAAGAGCAAGATCTTAGCCTGGCAATAACTTAAACACAAGATTTTAATTGTAACTTTCAGCAGCGTTGATTTTATGAACTTGTTCTGGGCATATATTCCACAGAGTTGCTTTGTTGATGTGGGGTTTTGTGGGGTTTTTGTTTTGTTTTGTTTTGTATTCAGACTAATATTAAGTGATCTACTTCTGTAGTGGTGCTTTGTAACAAGATGGTGTGTTATGTTTACTATGCTTGTATCTTGTTTAAGTCTATTTCAGTTTTTCCCCCTCTACTATTCAGGACTCTTGTAATTTTGAAAGGCTAGTTTTCAGTCTCCTGTAATATAATTAGACTTTGAAGGCTGGCACTTTATGTTGAAACTGAAGATGCTTTGGCTTTGAAAACTATAATAATTCTTAATAGATGAAAAACTCCATTTGGTCACGTTCCATAGCATTTTCCCTGAAACAGGTAATCTTTTCTTAAAACTGATAATCTGTGGCTACAGCAAGTTTCATCCCTCTCACAGCTCAGTCATATTCAGCACTGTAGATGAAGCATCAGTGTATTCACCCAGGGAAAACAGAACTCAAGTTTACGTATGAAAGCATGTATTTCTTCTCCATTTACCAAGTCAGACTTTTTCATTACAAATAGTAATTAAGAAATGTTGTTCTTTGAGTTCTGCATAACTTGGTTTTAGCAGAGTTGGATGCCACTCTAGCCTTAATTTGCACATCACAATTAAGCTGATGTAGATAGAAATATGAATATTAAATATTTACATGAAATGTATATCAAACTGAACATCAAATTATATGTTTAAATTACATCTATTTAACTTGTCAAATAAAGAACTGACTTTTCAATACCACCAGTCTTTAATTGCAGGAGCAGACCTGTCCTCTCAAATGTAACTTACTGCCTCAAGAGGAATCCTGCTCCTGAAGGCTGCTGGCACAGCAACAGGAGGATGTTTGCCTAACCCAGCAGAGAGCAGCTGTAGCTCCAGCTCCTGTGCAGCAGAAAGCAGTGGACCGTATGCTGAAGGCTGCAATTAATATTCACAGAAAACTATGACAGTTTGTCTGAGAAAAAAAGTCCTTAAATACCCTTATTAGGGCACCCTTACTTATGCTTTTTTATACCTGTGTCCCCATGCACTGCTCCAGAGCATCACCTTGCCCTTGTTGAAGTCAGAGGTAAATCTCACTCGCACTTCAACTGGGACAAGGCAAGGCTCACAGGGACCAGGCAGTGGTATTCATCTTTTGATCTGAACACATTCACTGGATCAGACCCAACTGTTGGATTTGTGTCATTTTTAAGTGCACTGCATTTTAAGGAACTGCAGTGCTTCACCTGAAGACTGAACAACTTGTTGCTCTGCTGTACTTTATCTGAGTTAAACTCATATGGCACTGCAAGAAAATAGGAGAGCTGTGTTGACAGAGAAAGCAGCACAGCGCTGCAGCTTCTCAGTGATTTGCAACAAGGATGTCTGCCAGAGGGACCCCAGTAATTGCCAGAACATCCCCCCTCCTAGCCTGTGCAATCCCTGTCCTGAGATGTCTGTGCTATACACGTGTCCCCCTGCTCCAGTCATCCCTCAGCTGTAAAACCTACACTCTCCCTTTGCACCACAGACTCACCTCTGCCCTGCCACCTCCCAACAGTGCCATGTCCCTCCATGTGACCGGAGACGGACCCACAGCTCATGGACACCCACCACCATTGTGTGTGCCCCCCCCCCCCCCTTTCCTTTTACATACCCTTCACCTCTACCTGTTTTGCCCCACCTTGGCATAACAGAAGGAGATGAGCAGCAGCGGGAGCAGATATCCGAAGACAAACATGCAAACCACATAGACCTTCTTGTAGCGTGGGTTGGGCCACTGCTCCCAGCAAAAAGTCTGGTTGGAGGCCTCGCGGTGGAAGAGGTGCTGGTGGTGAGCCACAGGGGAGGCCATGGCGAAGGAGAGCGCCCAGATGAGCCCCACACCCAGCAGTGCGTTGCGAGAAACACGCAAGGCTGAGGAGCGTCGAGAGTGCACGATGGCCACATAGCGGTCCACCGACATGGCCGAGAGCGTGAAGATGCTCACCAGCATGGAGACGGTGAAGAAGTAGTGGATGAACTTGCAGACGAAGGCACCCAGCACCCAGGTAGGGAGCACGTAGACTGTGGACTGGAAGGGGATGCAGAAGAGCAGGTAGGCCAGGTCAGCGATGCTCAGGTTGAGTATGAAGATGTTGGTAGTGCTGCGGCGTTTGCCTGGCTTGCTCCTTGCCAACACCGTGATCACCAGCGAGTTGCCCAGCACCCCCATGGCAAAGATCAACACAAAGACGATCAAGGTGATGAAGTTCTCGATGCCGATGCCGAAGAGGGGCTTCCCCTCTGTCACTGGCAGCCCGGAGAGGTTGAACTCCCCGCGGGGCGGCTCTGCCTCATCTCGGGACCAGTTAAGGGGGGACGCCACGGCCTCCCCTAGCTCCATCCTCCCCCTTCCGCGACGGCCAAAGTTTCCGCGGGGGAATAAAGGGGGCTGCCGCGTCCCGGCACCCTTCCCGCGGCCAGCCAGGGGCGGCGGCCCCCCACCAGGGCCGGGAGGTGCCGGGGAGGAAAAGAGGGAGAGAGAAAGGCAGGGGATGGGGAGGAAGGGAAAGCGGCGGGTGCCGCCGGGCAAGATGCCCCGCGGCTTACACGGGCGCAGAGGCAACGCCGCAGCCCCGTTGCCCCTGGCAGGCAGCTGGCTCTGTGCAGCGCCCGGCTGGCCGCGGAACCCCCAGCCTCCCCGAGAGCTTCCTCCGCCAGGGGCGGCGCTCCGCCCGCGGCCGCGCAACTCCCGCTGCTCCAGCCCCGCGGAGCGGCCGAGCCTCGTCGCCAGCGGCCGCCTCTTAGGCCAGGAGACTGAGAGCCCCGGGGGCCTCTCCTTGGGGAAAGGAGGGCTGGGGGATTTTTCCTCGCCTTCTTTTTCCTCCCTCCTTTCCGCTTTCTCCTCGGTTTATCTTGCAATTGCTCCGCCGGGCTGCCCACCGGCGCGACAGCCGGAGCCCGGGCAGAGAGCAGAGCGGCGTGGAGCGGAGCCGAGCAGCCCTGGCTCCCGTCCTCACCTCAAAAAACTTCCGTATGCTTTTTGCCTAGGGAGGCTCAGAAGTTGCGGCTTCCAGCACGGCCGTAGTGGCGCTAGGCAGGTCCAGCTCGGCTTAAATGAACTCTCTTGGAGAGACAGGAATAGTTCAGCGCCTGCTTAAACCCACCTCAACAGGTAGCCGGCAGCAAGAGTGAGTCCGGACTAAGCACCGCCTACGCTGACTATTTTCATCCCTTCACAGGTTTGTATTACTCGTTCCGTGCAGCGCAGAAGCTCACAAGACAAAAGGTGGCAGACGTTGTTGCTAACTCTAGAAAAAAAAAAGCAGAAAAGAAAGCCTGGCCACTTGTCAGGCTCCGGTTATAAAAGCCGTGTCCTCAAACCCTACCGCCTGCCTCCATCCCCACGGAGGCAGTTCTTACCAGTGCTGGAATGACAGCTTCTGAAAAGCTAAGCTTTGCAGGACTGCATGAAATAGAAAAGTTCCTCTAGCATATGGATGCGAGAGCATGCAAATTTTCACACAGGCACATGGACCTTGTGAATTAAACAAGTTTGCCCAGGTTTCTTAACCATTTGTTTCAGTTGCCAGTAGGTGAGCTACCGCTGGTTATGTTACATTTTATATCTTTTCTCTAGGGATCTTGAAATCTTGAAGGCATCTGGGGGGGATCTGGGGGTCTTGACAGCTGATGCTGAAAAGCTCCTCTAGTACGGAGCCTCACTGGACACACAGCTAGAGGCCTGGGCTGGCAGAGGTACAGCTTCCTCGCATCACGGCCTGCTTGCTCAAGAGTTCAATGCTCCTGGGGGAGCAGTGGGACAGACAGAGCTGCTCCAATGTGCTGCTGAAGCCTTTGCTTGCTCTACAGTCCACAGTTTGACAGGGCTTTTGTACCCTTCTTTTTGCTACTTACATTGAGGCATCTGAGCAGCTGCATATCAGCGGATTAAAGAGCGATGGACTTGTACAGATCTGGATTTTAATTGGACTTATATATGGCCTGGACCATTACGTCCAAAGGAACACATGATGGAACAGCACAGTTTGGTTTCTATAGATCAGAGAAACTTTTATTTGGATTGGTCTATTTGCCATGTCTGTTGTAACTCAGTTATTAAGAAAAAGTACACTAATAAAGATTCCTACAATACTTATGGTGTGTTTTTTTTCTTACATGTATACCTCATCATTTTCTTGAGGAGTTTGATTGCCATGCAAATCTACTAGTGTCTACTTATGTAAGGGATTTGAGAATGGACAATGTTAAATATTTCTAGAATGTACCAGATGTTTCGGACTTTTTGGAAGCACTCAGAACATTGTGAAAATGAGTGGAAGTCTCCACAGATTTCCTCAGTGTTGCCAATGCCTGTGCTTGCCACTGTGAATTCCTTCATATGATGAGATACAAGTAATATTTTTGAATGCCACTGACGTTTTGCATTTGAATCCTGTCTCGTTGCCAGACATCACTCTTTCCTAGGGTATCAGGAGTTCAACCCTAGCTTGCTGCAGTTAATACTAATGTTGCATTGATCACAGCTCTCTACCTGAAATGCTGCATTAGTTCTCATAGCTCATGCCTCTGTTTTCTTTGGAAATACTAACTTTTCAACATTATAGCCTGAATAGTGACCAAAGAATAGCAGACTGTTTTACAGACAAGTGGGCAGGAAAAGTAGGTGCAAAACCTAAATCAGTTTTAAGGAAAAGCAACCTGAAGATCACATTTATGAGCTGGATGGGAGCCTTGGCTCTATTAATTTCATTTAGATATTTAGATGGTTTTGCAGTTCAAGCTTTTCTGGTATGTATGTATTGTATAGAGTTCTTATAAGACTACCCCTGAGCATTAGAGATAAAAAACAGAATGCAACCATATTGCAGCTTTTCTACCAGGCCTACAGGCTTCAGCTTTTGCGTCAGTAAAGGAAAATTCCCACATAGACAGCACTCATGATTCCTGTTAAGATTGCCTTGAACAAACAAGTGTTGACTTGTTATCTAGACTGAGTAAAATCTTTGTGCAATAGAAAGTTCCAATGGAAAAGTTGTTATGAATTCAGTGCAAATAGTTATATAATTAGATACATTAATTACTTGAAAAAGTATGAGAAAAAAAAAACAGTAAAAAAAAAAGTAAAAGATATTTATCTCTTAAGCATGTGCCTCACACATTCCTTGACTCTAGTTTTTTGAGTCTATTCCCAAACATCTTTTGACATGAAAAGATCTACTTTTGTCAAAACTAAAATAGCCTATGATCTTCAGGAAGAGCGGGAAGTTAAATGCAATCTTCTCCTGTCTGTGGGCAGATTCCACAGTTGCCTTTATCAGATGTTATTACCCCCAACAAAGTATTTTGCCTACATAATTTTCCATAACGAACAATGGGAAAAATAGAAAAGATCTATGAAGGAGCTGAGAACCGAAGTACCCTCTTTAGTCTAGACCTACATGTTTACTCCTCAGTAGCTTAATCTGGAAGATATTGCAGAGAAAAAACATTACAAGGATGTCCTTGCTTCTGCTCACTCCAATGGTCACATACCTTTTTTTAATGAGGTTCTAATAATGAGAATAATTGACTTAGAGTGGTACATTTTTTTTTCAGGAAAGAGAAATCATTTAACAATATGACAAATTGATTTAAAATATTCATTACTATTAAAGTTTGTGACTATGTAACATATATAACAAACATATAATCAAAATACAGTCAGTAAAATGCATTTGTACTTTAAAATGAGCATGTACTTAGCACCTCAAAAACAATATACAAACTGTACATCATTACAGATTTCCTCCACTTTTTAGCCACAGTCCCACTTTTCATTTTTAGAATAGCCTGAATAGTTGAGGCACAAAAATCAGAGGCCAGTTATACAAACATGTACATAGCTGTATGCCTGTACACATTGGATCATTCTACAGAAATTAAATGTGTATAATAGGACATACAACTTCTTCAAAGATGTGTTTCATTATTCCTGTAGTGAAGATCAAGCTGGAGTTGAGGTTCAAGCCTCTAAAATGTACCCAGTGTCAGTACGGAGAAACAATTTGAAGTGTACTTATATTAAAGCATATGAGTAGCCCTGAACATTTTAGAAATCTTTTGACAGCCCTGAGGTGATTGACCAGTTTTCTTCACTGCAAAAATATTCTCCAGTTTTGATCATGTTTTGTTTATAAAACACGAGGCTGAAAATAGGCTTATTTTGAAGACCAACTCTTTTTATTTGTGAAAGAAGATCAGACACAATAGTCACGTCAACCATACCCCATTATTTTTCTTTATGACAAGTTCCTTGAATAGAAATTTACATTATAAAGTCAGATGTGAACTTTAAATCTCATTGAAAAGCTGAATTAACCCACCTTTGATTCACCTTCTAAAAGTTATTAGTATGGAAAAGTCAAGTATCTATAAGCATTAATCCCCCCTTCTATCTATATTCTTGGGAATAAGGTAACCCTGAGGTCACAGTTGTCACTACATTCAGATTTCTGTAGCAGAGAGTTGTCACTAAGAAACTTAAGCTTATTGCTACTTGCTGACATTTAGAAAGAACATCTGCCCCTGTTCATTTTAGAGCCATTGTCATTCCATCACAGTTTATGTTGACTATTTTTCTCCTAGTTCTCTATTCCAGTTCTTAGAAATCAGTTCTAAAATGGCCTTTGAAGGGCAGGCAGTCAAAAGCAGAGAACTAAATTCGAAGCTATAGTTTCCAAAATCCCATCAGTACTTCATATTACAATTAAGTGCTTTAAATTAGTATTCTAATAATATGACTTAGAAATTCTATATGAAAGAATGTATCCATACTTTATTCAATGCCCATCAATCTCGGTAAAAATAACAAAAGCTAATAACCATGGCCTAGCAACATGCTCTTGCCTTAAAGTTGTTGAAAAAGAATCCTTGGTTTGTTTTCCTTGTTTTGTGACAATTACCCATGGGATGCTTTTAAATGTTGACTGCAAAAGCCTCTTGCCTGTGCATAAAGACACAGCTGTGTTTGATTTAAACCAGAGAGCATCCATACCTGATCTTCCTTGACATAACAGAATCAAGAGTACTTTGACGAATGCTTGTAATACAATATAGCACAGTAGAGCAGGTCTTATAAAACTCAGGAGAGTGCAGTGGGCATCCAAGTCATGGGTACAGCTCCTGTAGAAGTCATTTAAATGAACACTTAGTCTACTTTCAAGCAGCCTCATAAAATGGGCATCTGACTGGTTTGAGGTAGTAGAGCAAGAATAGAAAGGGTTAAGTCCTGTAAAATGATCTTCATGTTTCTATACAGGAAAAAATCAAATGCAAGCTAGAGAACATATCTCAGACGTGGGAAACATTGAAGTTACCTATGCTGGAAGAGATCACAGTAAAAAGAGGTAACTTGGAAAGCACGACTGCTGCCAAAGCAGGTGTTCACTGCTGGTAAAGCAGCCAGGGAGAGTTTGCAGGCTGCTTTGGCTGGGGTCAGATCCAGGCTGAAATAAGAAAGCGGTTGCCAAAGGGAGTGAACAAGCTGATGGAAGTAAACAGGCCAGGGCTACACTGCATAGCTTGGGACACCTTGGTCACCAGGGCCGTTCT